AAAAGAGTAAAAGCGGGGAGAAAGAGAGAGAGAGAGAGAGAGAGAGAGAGAGAGAGAGAGAGAGAGAATGGAATATCTTCTAAAAAAGTGAAAAATAAATTACACATGTGATGTAAGCGGTTTGCTTCTTTTTATTTTATTTTATTTTATTTTTTTTTTTTTTTACCAAGTTTCTTTATATCTAACAAGAAAAGTTTTTCGCCTTGTTTTTCTATGTGTAGCAGCACTTAACTTAAAATGATTTCACAGCTTTTCCAACATCTCCTTTACACGTGCATATACCCAGAAGTCTACGGCATATGCGCTTAAATATATACATATTTGCCTCTTATTAAGTGCGAGTTCTTTTGTAGTTTACATGCATTTGTATATACATGTGTATATTATTATAAGTATATATATGTATATGCACGTATGTAAATATTTAAGTGCATGCCATGCCAACTTACATGCAAAACATATGTACATATATTTTTTGCATGTAAGTGTACAAAAAAAAAAAAAAAAAAAAAAAAAACGTCGATTTTTTGCGTTTTGTTGCCTGTGTTGGTGTGAATAAGGTCAGGGCCGCGTGGGTATAGTTGAGAAATTTTGAAATATATTTCTGTCACTGTGTAGATACTTAACTAACCAAATGTGAACTTTTGTGCGCATATGTGTTTGCTATGAAAAGAAACTTTACATTTCTTTTTCTCTTTTTCTAACTTATGCTAGTGTATACACATATTTGTCACACATGACGTGTGACGTGTGTCTCTTAAGACACAATTTAATTTCGTAAATATGCTAATAAAAATGTGATCGTTACATAAGCGTATGTACACATCCACACACATCTATATATATATATATATATATATATATATATATATATATGTATATATTATCTATATACTCATACACATACATCTGTTTTCTTGCATTTGCAGAGCTATCACTATTTCTTTTTCTTTATCCCTTCATTAGTGTAGGAAAATTTTATATTTGCTGTATGGAAACTAGACATTTTAGAAGGACATCTGAAATACATTAAAGACAATTGGCTTTATTGGTTACTTGGGGTTCACTTGAAAAACGAAAAGACCTGCATTTTATTTATAAAAATGATAAAAACCAAGCAAGCTATGATTCTTATCATAAAGGCTTAAAAAACAGTGCCTTGAATGTATTGGAAATCCAAGTCAGCGCATGTTTTGACAATGCGATGAAAACGTTTGTATTTCTTTTTTCGCGTGACAATGTGAAATCCTTATTGTGCGATTGACTTTTTGCTCGTCTACGAGTTGATTATTGTGTTATCAAACTCGCTATCCATGCGAACAAAAGTTTTCATAATTGGCTCTGGGTCTGTTTCATTATCATTTAAAATGATTATATATATATATATATATATATATTTTGCAAAATTGGCAAAAATATTGGTAATAATAACAATTCATATAACGACTTTTCAAAGTGAGGCATTATATGGGAAGTAATCGAAAAATTGGTCCAATCCGAACCATTTTCAATAGCGTTCGCGTTTGGACCAATAAGTGCTCGTGTATCACAGATTGAATACAGGAATGAATGGACAGATGTCGGAAGCAGAGACAGACAGCCAAGCTTAGAATCACTTTCTGAAACGATGGCCTTAATAAAAAGTGCGTCTATCTCAAGTCTTTCTGGGTAAGCTAAATACCCACAGTTATATTGTTTCTTACAATTAGAATCGAAATACACGTATTTACAAAAAAAAAAAAAAAAAAAAAAAAACAGATAAGCTAAAAGTTGAATAAGATATGATGATTTAAGTCCATATCTATCTGAACGAAAACACACACCTGTCATGTTCAAAAGAATTTTTTTTGTTTTTTATTCTACACAGCTTGTTAATTTACTTTCACTCTCAGCAAAATGAAATTTATAATGCTAAGGTTAGATTTTGTTGTTGATATTTCTATTAGGTGGAGATGGTTTTGCGTTGAAAAAATCTCGACATAAAATATTTTAAGCTTTTGACTTTTTAATGAATGGCTATGAATGAAAGTGCGCATGTAGGGATTAAATGGTTTTTTTTTTTTATCTGAAAGTTTTTAATGGGAACACTGATGAAAGCTTGTGTTGTTTAAAATTGCAACAGACAATTGTGTCTTTAACGCGTCAAATATGCTCGAGTCAATCTTCATTTCATAGCACGATAGCAGCTATAATTTGTACACTTGACTTCCGACAGCCAGCGACGACTGAGTCGCCGGTCAGAATTGAATTTTCCGATCTATGGTTTCTCCTAATGCATTTAAATTTTATCAACAATCAGTAGAGTGCTTAATAAATCCTTTTGTTTTGTTGTTCCTATCGGTCCAATTTCTACTAAGCATTATAAACTCTACTCTTGTTTTGGTAATTAGACAGCAACTTGGGCGCCCGCCTTGTCAAGTTTTGATTTGATATAGGTGTTGGTTTTTAAGCTCTGCCATAGGAACACATATGAGATAAACGCAGCTGCCGATTTTGTTTTTAGCCTTAGGCCACACTTGTCGTTCAATCTATATTAATCAATTTGCTACAAGTTTATTCTTGATGAACCGTTTCACATATTCGTATTAATTACAAAACTAATGAACATGTTTAATTGTAAAAAAAAAAAAAAAAAAAAAAAAAAAAAAAAAAACATACATTTCAGTTTTAAGAATTCCACCAATAAACACATGGACGGATGGACATGGATAATCATAATTTAATTGGAAGGACAAAGCGCATCCTTCATCTTTTCATTTTTAGAGTTTATCTGCTTGGCGGCAAAAGCATTCGGAATTGTTAAGTGAAACCGAAAGAATTTATTATTAAATTTGCTGCAAAAACAACTTCCACAAGACGATTACACAAATACTCTTCAGTTATTTTAAAGAATTCGCCCATACTTTTTTAGTTAATTGGGTTAAGAGTCTTGTCGTCAATTTAATTTTGAAAAGAAAAGAAAAAGAGGGCATACTTAAATTTTTTAATTGAAAACTACTTTAGTTTGTTTTTTGAAACCCGATGGTCGACACGATATGTTGTTTCATCTCGAAACGTCATATTAGTGTGAAACGAGACTTAAAAGCTATATTCATCCATTAAGTCTCAATTATTATATGATGATCTACTTCTCGCCAAAATCACATGTAATCACATTATAATATTTGTAGTCGTCAAACGTCGAACAAAGCCAGAAGCGCATCGACTACGGCTCCTTTTGAAAATTTTACATTATTTATATTCTCATGTTTTTATATACATAGGACTCGACTTTTTGCCGAATTTTCCTGAAAACATACAATTCAAGTCAAACTCCGCCCTCAATAACGGTTTCGTTTGCAATAATCCTCGAGTCAGCGAAAGTATGTTTAATAAGAGATCAGCTTCAAACATCATTTTTCGCCTAATAATTTGATATAGTATTTTAAAGGAAGATTGTAGTAGTAAATAGTTTGAATAGAATATCTTTTGATCGTTGCTTGAATGCTTATATCTTGTCTTTCCTTCGCCTTATAGCAAATAATTGTTTGATCAAATTTTGCTAAGAACACTTTTGTCTAATTGCGATCAATTGCGCATTAATTTTTAACTAGAATTTTTTTTCCTACATTTAGTTATCATCTATCTACAATTAAAGAATGCTGTCTATATAGTGGACAAATATCGTTTGAGCAACGTAAAACTAACTGTTGTACGACTAACTAATGAACATGTACAAGCGTATCAAATAGTACAAAGGAATGATCAAAATGCAATAAAAAAGTATAACAGAAATAAGTTAAATTAAATAAATTCTTTTGGTCGCATATTAATGCAATCAATGTTACTGACAGATAAATAACAAGTCGAAGTAAAAAGTTCAAATGTTCAAATAGTGTGTAATTAAAAATGTAACGTTAGATGTAATAATAATAATAATAATAATAATAATAATAATACATGTAAATAGTGTATGTATATGTAATTGCTGTTTATGTGTCTGTTAGTGTGTGTGTGTGTGTGTGTGTGTGTGTGTGTGTGTGTGTGTATGTGTATGTTTGTATGTATGTATGTATTTGTATTACATATGTACGCATGAATATTGGAATTTTATCAAACATTTCCTCTAATATTTAAATGTTTAAAATGTCTAAGATAAACGAAAGTTATTTATTTATTTAGTTTCAATATTTATGACGTACTCATATAATTCTTAGCCTTATTTAATTTGCTTAATTAATTGAATTAACAAAGTAATAAACAAATTTTATTCACTTATCACTTATTAGTGATCAAAGCAGAAACACAAAAAAAAAAAAAAAAAAAAAAAAAAAAAAATCAAAATAGATGGTAAGGGGATTTATATATGCAATCAAAACGAACCAACCGACTAACCAGCCAACCAACCACATACTGTAAATATGTATATAGTATTAGAATTATATATATACATACAAAAGTATATATTACAAAGATACGCAAAGTGTTTAATTAAAATCAGCTTTACAAGCAACCGAAACTATGCATGTATGGGTGGGTATGTAAGTAAATATTTAGACGTTAGATTCATACTGAGTAACTTGTTACCATATAGATATGATATATTTATGAACGAGATCTATATGATTAGAATTTATAGTAAGTAAGTATGGAATAATATATCATATAATTGACAATATTAATTAATGTAATCATACCGCTTCATACAACAAACATGTCAACATAACGAGTGTAAGCGAGTAAAGGTAAACCAAACAGTTTCTCCAAAATTCTTTGTAAATATATATAAAAATTAATTAGGTATTTTGTTCCATGTTTTTTTTTTTTTGTTTTTTGTTTTTTGTTTTTTTTTTTTTTTTTCATTTTTATAACGGCATAAAAAAATGTTTATTAAATAAATAGTAAAAATTTATATTTTTTTTTTAAAAAAAAAAAAAAAAAAAAAAGAAGTAGAAATAGAAGTAAAAATGAAAATAAGAAAAAAAAAAAAAGAAAAGAAAAATAAAAGAACATGCACCCACCTCAATTTTGCGTCCCTCTACCACGGTGCCATGGAGACGTTCGCGTGCTCGTTCGGCGTCGTTGCTGTTAGCGAATGTTACAAAACCAAATCCCTGTGTTGTACATATGTGTGTGTGACATTACACATTCAATACGCGGAACAAAACCAAACATGCAAGTAAAGAAAGTAGAAGAACAACACAAAATTATATATTTATTAATGATAATTAATTTAAAAAAAAAGAATAAAATAAAAATAAATAATAAATAAATAAATTACATACAGTAAAACATTTGGTCACAAGTATACCACAAAGAACATACTCATACATATATAATTGATTGATATTAGTAGTAGTGATGATAGTTATATATATATATATATATATATATATATATATATATATGTGTGTGTGTGTGTGTGATGTGTATGTGTGTGTGTGTGTGCATTTATGTACAATATGTAAGGAGACCGATAAGTAAGGGAAGCGGAATGAGCGTAATTGCTAGAGGATTAGAGGCAAACCAAAATTAAAAAAAAATTAAGAAAATAATTTACATTACAAACAAACTAAGGTAGAGTAGCATACAATAGGAGTAAAAGTGTTTTCTTCACATTGCACTACACAAATGTTCAATGTTAGCGGAAAAGGGGAGCAAGTTAGTATTGGTGGCTTGTTTTTTTTTTTTTTTTTTTTTTTTTTTTGGTTATTTTTTCTCCCCCCTTTTTGCTTTTAGTATTCGTGTTTGTTAATCAAGTGTAAATCTTCGCTCTAAATATACTTTCGCATTACTTTTTTTCTACTTTACATTTCGTTTGATATAATGTGTATTCGCATGCAATTTTCTACATAAATGATTTTGAGAAAGCTTATTTGTAATAAATGTGTTGCTTCTTGTTCGCTATATGTGTGTGTAAAACTAATATACATATTTAAGGAAATATATATCAGCGAAATTTTATGGGAAAAGTTTTTCGGTTATGCTATACATATATATATATATATATATATTTTTAATGAAGAAAATTGTAGTACATTTTTAGGGCTTCAAAAATTCAATATTTTGTAAGCAGTCATATTCGGCATTAGGCCGAACTTTTTAATACTCATTACAAATTGATGTATGATACGTGTGAGATTGCAGAGCAAAGCAAGGAATGCATTCACTCAACGTTCAATGTCAATCATACAGCGCAACACACATGTCATATAATATAATTACATCATACACTATACGTAAATTTAAGATTATTTTTTTAGCGTTAGATACGAATAAAATTCATATTCATATAAAAAATACGACGTAATATTGAAGGAATGGAGCAAATTGAAGGTAAAATATAAATATATTACATTAATATAAACATTTTTTTCCTTTATTCTATTCCTACGCATGCCAGGCTGCATGCAGAGTTTTCTTATTAAAGTCTGAACAATCGAGACTGATTTCGCTCTCTAATTTTTCGTTTACCAACAGTGGGAACTTCGCGCGATTTTCACATCACCTTCTGCATACCTCCTGCCAATGTCACAAGAAATCTTCAAGATAAGATATTTTTTGTTATAGCTGCTGGTCATTATTGATTATCTTTACCATTCGAGCAGTATTCAAATTTATTAAAGATATCGAGAACACAGTTTGACCCTTAAATTCATGTTGACACCACGTTTTCATATTCATATCCTCCACTTTAATACTCTATAGTCTCCGCCGTTTCTTATTGTCTCGCTAAGTTGTATAAAAATGTCCCAATCATTTCCAAACTTTCTTCGATATATTCTTGCAATTTGTAAAAAGTTTCTTTTTATAGATTTGCTCTGTTACTCTGTAGGTCATTACGACCTACCTGTTGAAGAGTAGATCGTAGATATGCCGTGTTTTTCGAAGTCATCCCATTTATGCTTAGCAAAGAGGCACAAAAAGATAACAAGATTACCGTTTGTTGGCAAAGACATATGGTTAACGATCTATCAGTAATTATGCCCAGGGGACAGGGAAGTAAGCTTTATTTCGATTTGATTGATTTTTAATTTTTCCACGAGGATGTTATTCAACAAATTTTGGAATTAAAAGAAAAAGTGCGCGATTGATCGACGCCTCAGCTCATTCCGATATCTGATCGTTGTGAGTATTTATATTCTCTATTGCACTTCTCATTCATATATCTATGCTTGATTTGCAACATGCATGCATAAATATGCTTTATACAATCATTGATAAAAATTAGAAAAATTTCATAAAATGCGTAAAGCAAAGAGACATGGCTTACAACGAATTTGTTGGACAAGTCGAACTTTTTAAAAATTGTAAAAAATTTTTTTCCTGTTCTAGCTACTACTCACCAATACAAGTGCAGGCAGAGTGTAATGCTCACTTGCCTTAATGTAGGCTATTTAAATTACATCACTATCACAATCGTTTTGATGTGTGCACACGAATAAATGATGGTCTGTCTTCACATCCTTATGAAGCAGCACAAGATATCTATGAGTTCTAAACAGTTTGAAGCACTTTTCGATTGCTTCAGGTCGTTTATCTTTCGCAATCCACTTTGTCACCGTAAAGAGCAGCAGAAGCAGAATTTAATATTTGCTTCTATGATATTTTTATATGTTCGTATTTACATGTATAACTCTTGCTACAAGTGATTTGGAATCTTTCGTCAACAATGTTTTACAGATTTATTTCTAAAATATGTTAATGGTAATTAAATAAAATACTATCGTAATCAGTCAAACATTTTTCATTCAGTTCGATGGGTTTTCTTACAGAGTGTGTGAGCCTTGTTTTCGTAAAATTGAAAATTTCGTTTTATCTAAATGAATCTGTATTGGACTGCACTATATTATCGAAACGAAGGGCGTTCGTATGAAGCATACAAAATTCTAGTTGAGATTTGATGTGTGTGAGAAGCAACATGTGCAGGTTTGTTTAGACGCTTGAAAGGTAATGATTTCTTTGTTGGATATGAAAAAGTTAATTTTTGTATCTTCTTGGGAAAGAAAGTTTATAGATGAAAAGTTGGAGGCGTTGCCGAATGCACCTGTACTTGCAGAATCATTACGACTTTATTGTATAACACTTTCGAAAAGCCGTTCGCGTGCGAACATGTACTTCAACAACAGAAAAGGAAATCACTTTGCATCGTATCATTTGCAATAAGCGAATAAGCTTGACTATGCTTGACATGCCCAGTTCTACGATCAGTGACAAGATAAAATGATTTTTTAGTGTACCAAGGCATGATCGCCTGTTGCTAACTCGATTAAAAACTGTTTAGAAGTTCTACCCCACTCTCTGTATTTCGATTGATGATATATCGTCGAACTCACCAGTGATGGAAAATATTTTCAATGAATTGCAGGCCTTGTAGTACAATAATTTGCTTATGTATTTTAATAAAATAGCACAAGAATTAATTTTGCATTTAAATTCAAGAAGAAGAGCGCTACCAACGAACGAGCCATCGGCTCATCCACAGTACATATATATATATATTTAAAATACAAATATATTTTGAAAAAGTATAATTCATAATGGGTCGTATTGAAAAGTCTCCGCGCTTTGGGGCTTCTGTTTGCAGTCGGCTGCAAGCTGAAATGCCACCATTTAAACATATGTTCGTTTAAATGTTGCCTCATATATAGGCATCAAAATGATTGGCGTATTATCTACATGGAAACTTATAGGCGTACAAGTCATACAAAAAATGAGATATAAATGAAAAATCATCGCTTAGCTGATTAAGAAGGGAGTCAACAAATTCGCGGCGAAAGTGAGCAAGTCATTTAGTAGGTGGCCCACCGTTGAAGTTAAATTTCCGCACAAACGATATTACCGTCCGTTGCTCTCACTTAATAGATGGTAGTAGATAGACAAACTTGGTATATTCCAATCGGACTTTTTTAATGTTTACGTCTTTTCGATAGGTCGCTTTACTTTCCAAGCGATTGCTTATTTTATTTATAGTGTTGCGAATATGAATAAGTATCTGCGCCGCAGTCATAACCGTAGCATGCTTTTGCATAAAAGGATTTAAGTATTCCTCAATATAATTACGATATATTTGTAGTGGAGGATTACAGCCTTCTTCTGTAGCAGTGAAGACCCCGAGCTCATTATCCGGAATCTCGACGCGGGAAGGTTTTCACTCAGTTTATCATAATTACGAGCAAATCTGTCCCCGATTTGTACAATCATTTGTACTCAAAGCAGGAACTGCATTAAATGCACCTGACACAAGGATATATTAAGTTCATGGCGACGTATATTTTTATAATTGCCAGAAAGAATTGAGATAGATCCACTTTTTATTATACAAATCGAGTCAGAACGTTTGTCTGTCTGTCCACTTGTCTGATGTCTGTCCATGTATTTTTGCGTTTAACTTGCATGTCGCTACTTTTGAGATATTTCGATGAAACTTGATACAACGACGGATTTTAGCTCAATGACAAAAGCTCCTGAAAATGATTCAGGCGCCCAGACTTTTTCGATCATTTTGCATATAAGATCTTATTTTGAAAGGCAAGTATATGAATAATTATATCAGCAAAGCGGTGTAGGGTATTTATTGACATGTCGCGGACCACTATAACGTTTTTTTCTTTTTTATCCAAATTTTCTCAATATAGAATTAAGGGTAAGCATCGATAATATTATTAAATGTCCTTCAATTTCAAGGTAAAGGCGTTAGGTCATCGGGAAAATGTACTGGTCAACCGCAGACTCCTTTACGTTCCTCAGTCTAACAACGATTGTGGAGAATAGTTTAATGAATTAATGCTTTTGCTGGGCGATAGCAACTCATAACAAACGATACGTTTTCAATCGTAACTTTTTTCGGCATATTTTAGTCTTGTGCACATTGCCAAGCAACTCAATTTCAATGGTTAGTGGCCGTCGAATTCAAAAATGATTATTTTTTAAGGCCGTTCATGTAGTTCATTTCAGAAATTGAAATTGGTCAAAGCTAATTTAGTTGATTTGGAATACAACATGAATAATAAATAGTAAAATAAAAAAGAGTTGAAAATTTATTTCAATTTGCTTCCTAGGGAGAAGGGCAAAAATTGCGATTTCAACAGACGAACAGACGACTTTCTATCTA